GACCAAGCCATAAGATTATGCGGTAATTAAAAAAATACAACAACCCGGAGAAACTTGAGAAAACCCAAAAGATGGCTACAATGAGATATGTGCGCTTTAAAGTTACAGTATGTGTGTATCTCAGCCCCAACAACAGGGCTAGAAGCCTATCCACGCTTATGGCCGTCATCGTTGACAAAGACACTCCACATAATGTAGGCTGCGTCCCTTGTGTATTGACAGAGACTCTAGTGTTCGTGAACCAAGGAAATACTGTCAATTGTGTACAAAAAAAATGGTGAACCATTTTTCTTAAAGCCTTACTTTTGCCTCAGCTATGATTTATCAAAACGAGGTAAGAACAAAACATCTGCGAATGTTAATATTTTATAGCGCGATAGACAATCCTTCGTCGCTCAGACGAACAATCATTTTATTCAGGTAGAGCGCATTTATTGAAAACGAGAGACAATGCTTTGTCAAACAAAATTATTCATCATTTAATTTCGTTACTCAATAATCACTTTCTTCGCTTTTTCTTCAGGTTACTCGTAACTGCATGTAACGAGAGATATTTTTGTCTTGAAAGCGCCTGCCAGGCTGCAATCACGTAGACCTTTTCATTGAAACTTTCTCAGTAATGCGGTTCACTTATTTAACATGCGAATACTCCATGCTTCTTCTGTCACATGAGCTGTTAATTTCTTCCCAGGAGTCGCATTAAATATAACTTTTTGTAAATTTCTTTGTAACGGGTAATTCTGTCATGTTATTCCATCAATAAACTCTAAAAGTTCCCTCCAAATTTAAGAAAGATTTTTTTATAGCAAATTTCCCTGCAAATTGTCTTTGTCAATTAAGAGAGGCTGGATGTTTGTCGCATAACTGTGTTGCGCGTCACAACTACATTACATGTTTATTCAACTTGGTTAGTTTAATCTTTGAATAACTTTGCGCTAAGAGGTAAAAATAAAAATAAAAGAATTTCCTTTTTTTATCACTCACAGTATAAGGCAAAAACTGTCCCTACTAAGGAAGAGTGACGTTGATAGGATAAATGAGTAAGTGTTGATAGAAAGTCTGAAGAACAACCCGAGGAAGACCTGACTCAACCATGTGTTTCTTTAATTGTCTGCTTCACTTTTTGTCTCACTTCACTAATCTTCCAGAATTAGCAGTTTATTTAGATATACTGTCATTCTTTTGGGACGATGATTAGGTGGTAAAAAACGTTTTCTGCAGCGTGGTTAATTATCAATTCCAAAAGAGGTTTATCAAACAACTTTAAAGAAATAAAGAAGCGAAAATCAGCAATAATAAATCGCTCGGAAGTGGAAGAAATGGATTCAATAAAACTTGAATATATTAAATATTTTCAAACATTTTTCATGCAATATTGTCCCCCACCCCCCCCCCCCTTAATTTAGGATTAAAAAAAAGTGACCGATCGGGAGGAGAACTCTGTAACAACCATTTACAGTCAGTTTCATTTCGCACCCTTTTGTGATTGCGTTACGCACAGGAAGCCCATGAGCGTGAGAATGCTTATCTTCGCCTTCCCCTTCCTTGCTCGGCGTTGTTTGAAATTGCTTCGTTTGCTAAAATGCCGACATGTTGCTACTCCGAGCTCGTTGGTGGTTCTTGTAGTTCCCGCAAGACCAGTGGAGAAAGTAAATGCATAGCCCTAACTAAACGCAAAAGAGACATCCAAGGTCATCTTAAAACATATAAATGCCATGATGCTCAGCTGAAAAGTGAGTTCATTCTTCTTCTCGCCAGAGCAGGTAAATATCTCATTATCAAACATGTCAAGAATGTTTAGCAAAGGCAAATACTGTATCCCTCTTTGTCCTGCTTTTCTATTTTGCACTAAGATCAATGAGGTTATATCGTGACACAGTTCAACGCCCTTGATTTTATCTTTGCTTTAAGATTTATCTCTTGAATCCACGTAAACGCTTGAATACAAGACAACAGGATGCTAAACAGCATTATATGTTGTCATGAAATATAAAGCATTGGTCCATGCCTACAATTTATTTATTTATTTATTTATCATCCATTCCTTCCTTCTTTCATTCCTTCATTTATACATTTATTTATTTATTTATTTATTTATCCATTCATTAATTTATTTAATAAGTACACATATTATATAACTATTATAAATAAGATCCATTATATTTACATTATTTTACGAAATGGGTCTGGGGGAGGGCCGGGGCTCGCATTGAATTGCGCACCCTCTTCACCAAACTAAGTTCCCATGATATGAAATTTCGTTTGTTTGTTTCGTTGTCTTATGTTTTTGTTTGTGTGTGTGTGTGCGTTTGTTTGTTTGGTTTGCTTGTTTCTTTTGCTTTCTATTTCTATCATTCTGAGTGAACAAGTAAACGACTTCGCTTTTTCAGGTATATTTGAAGTCGAGGAAAGCCATAAAGAACTTTCAATTTGTCCCAGACATAGAGACGACTTCGGGACTAGATGGTTATGCAATAAAAAAAAAGGCTCCTGTCCATCGGATCGGGCTCCACATGGGAAGTCTTCTCGGAAAGGTGATCGAGGCATGACTCTGCAACAGTCTCAAAAGCTTTATGCTTTAACATCTACGCTTCAGTTCCGGTGGGGGTCACGTGAGTAAAAATTCGGAAGGCTGGGCACTGAGGGCGTCTAAGAAATCAAAGCATTTCAACGAAAACCAAAAGAATTATCTCGATGAAGTTCAAACTTGGCCAGGAGACTGGTTACAAAGAAGATCCATCCCAAGTTGCGAGTGATATGCGTCGCGCTGAAAATGAAAACGGAGAGCGTCGATTTGCTGTTGGCGAGTTTTTATCACCACAGCAGATAAAGTCGTATTTCTCAAGGTCAGCAGTAAAGATCAAACAGGCGGATCGGTGGCAGAGATCGATGTACCAGCCATTGATGAAGAAATGGCATACTCCTCAGCTCATGACAAGATAATTCAAGAGTGCCAGCTTAGTCATCCCATTTTGTATGACACATACCACCTCTGTCAACTGTATGCCACGAACAAGCTTACTCGTTTCATTATTTCTTTCCTTCAAGATATATGCACATATTTCCAATTGGAAATTGATTCCCTTCCTGCTACACGAAAAGCGCCATACGTTGGTCTGATCAATGAACTGATAAATCCGTGTACGTGCAAAGAAAAATAGGAACTTTCCAGCTGGAAGTGACCATAGTCTTCGTATTCAGAAAGTAATGACTCCTGGAATAGATGGACACCAACATTATTCCAACTGCCTTGAGAGAAATAAGTACAATAGGTGCATATGCGTCATACACAGCTACGATATGACATTGTCCCTTTGTAGCTTTGTTACAAAAAAATTGGCAGTGAAAACCTCACGTTTACATACACATGTTTTAGATCGAAAGGATTTTATAAAGACTAACCTTGTTCTGTTAAAAACGTTGGTCATCTTCTGTATCATTCTCACTTAATCAACTTCCTGTGTGTAACGCAATCACATGGATAAGTTTTGAAAAGGGTGGAGCGGGCTAAAGTGCATGCTCTTGGCATGGAAACCACTTCTAAAGGTAACATTTTGTGTAATTATAGCCTGGGCAATTCCTTCTGATGTTAAAAAAGTTTTTGTTATCGTTGGGTTGGTATTAGTTGCGAATATGACCGTTGTAACAACATAAACCAGCAATTTGCATATACTAGACTATCAAAGATTGCCCAGACTTGCCTTGACTTTTTGGCTTCAGGAGAAAATTATATGTATATTTAATATGAAGGAGACCTGTTTCGAAGTTTTTATATGATATAAGAGGGAATTCGAGTGTTTTGGTAATGTTTTTCTTAATGTGACGTACAAGTCACGTTGGTCACGTAACGCGCCTCTTGAGCTCAAATACGCTTATATAAATCGCTCTAAAAATTAGTGGTTTAAATAGCCCAAAAAATTTATTGCAGTTTTTAAAAGAAGAAGCCTTGTTCTTGACAATGATTATTGTCTCATGGTCAGTTTATGGAGCCATGTGACAATGGCCGATTTTAGTCGCCAAAGTTGAGCTATGTTTTGATGGATGAAATTTCACCCGAATTAGAAAATTCGTAAAAAAATCGTTTTTTTAAGGAATCTTGGAAAAAATACTTCAGAACCTTTTAAAAATATCTCTTGTTTTAGAATTGTTATGTTGTTTCCGAATTGCTGGCGAAATAAGTTTTTTTCGGCCGTTATCTTGAGGTGTACTATTTCACCGGGAAAACACGGTTATGAACCCCCAAAACACAAAATGCCACCGTTCTCCCAACATAATTTTTTTTCGGCATTTTTTTATATTTTTCCATAACTAAGGCCATTTATACCTATGTTCTGGCAAAGTTTGAAAAAATTTTAATTTTTTCATTTTCAACACCTTTTCTCGATTTTCACAGACGACCACTCAATTTTGCGGCAGATTTCTTCAAAAACTTTCATCACATGTGCAGCATTGTCAACCGATTCGTTCAATAAAAACTCGAATTACCGGAACTCCAAGAATGCGAAACAAGAGCCCTGTTTCAATTTTTTATGTCAGGTAGGATTTTACCAAGCGTACACGTTCGTTCGAGAAGGTAGAGCCATTATTTAACGAGAAACTGAACAAATTTAGAATATTATTAACTCAGTATAGGCTATTTAAAGCTCGTTAACTTGTACTTTGTAAAATATATCGTTAATTAATTCAAAACATTCATGATAATCCGTGTAAATGTTTAATTTAATGAAGGATCGATCGGCACTGGAGCAGCAACCCTCTGAAACCGCATCCCGCGTAGTCTTTAATAAAAATGTTATAGTTAATTTTTTATTTCTTTCGCTTTCTTACAATAACATTCATGAGAGTATAATTTAAGTCAAGAGATTATAAGACATTATATATCCTCTTGTGCACGTATATCTTTCCTTGGATTAATAATTTATGCGCTCAAAAAAAAGTTTAGTAGCACGAAAAATATTTTTTAAAAGTTTTGGTTTGTGTTTCCATTACCTTTCCTTAATTTTGTTTTACGTGACTAGCAAAAAATACTATCGACAGACCTCGAGCAAAAATTTAAGCGACAAGCGTTCTCTATCGGTCAGCTTTGCACTGAAAGTACTTATACGATCATATATAACTCGAGGATGGTCTAACTCCATGGACAGCAAAGTGCTTGTCTGATTGTCTGCTTCATTGCTCGTCTCACCTCACTAATCTTCCAGCAGTATAGGAACGGGTTTAACGTCGAGTTAAAGTAAACAAGGATAATTGCTATTTCACTTGTGACGACTAAGTGTGATGAATATGTTTTACTATGAGAGGCCACAATAAACATAATGAGGAATGGTGTATAACAAACAACTAAAGCTGACTGTACCCACAGTGCACGGTGCACTGCTTTTCTGTATCGCGCCATGTTCAGTGCATTTGGTTGGCTCGGCTGCTGTTGAGCTTGTGCCTGATGATGTCTAAGAGTGCGAAATATCTTTGTGTACGAGGCGAGTGAAATAAGCAGCGAAAGTGATAAAACTATCGAGACATACAAATCGGTTATACGCTGATCGAAAATGGTGCATAAAGAGGCGACAAGACATAAAATCCAAAAGCTAGCTATAGTGATATAAATGCGCTTCAAAGTTACAATCTTTTTATATCTCAACTCCAACAACAGGGCGAGAAGTCTGTCCACGCTTATTACCGCCATCGTCAGCAAAGAAACTCCACATAATGTTGCGCTTGTAATGTAAGCTGCTTTTCTTGCGTAATGACAAAGGCTCCAGTGTTCGTGAACCACGGACATCCAATACGTAACATAGAGAGGCTGAGCAACAAGACCAACCAACAGATCAGTTGTCGCCAGACAACGATACAAGAGTTTGGACGGCGGGTGGAGGGAAGATATTTTGTGAAGGGCAACAAGGGTAAGAGAATTACCCAGAAATGCCGTGATGGAGAGGAAAATATGGACTGCTGCGAAGGATGCTGATCGAAGCCCACCCATCAAAGAGGGAGAGCACTGTAGTACTTAAAATGTTTTTGTCTATGTTCCACCTCTGCTGAAATTTGTTGTCGACATAATTCTGCATTGGTTTCCTCTGTTCTTGCAACGAGAAATATTTCGTCCAACTGAAACATTCCTTTAATAAACCCATTAAGACTTCCTCATTAGCTTCCAATCATTTAAAGTGCGTCAGAAACTTGCAGCTGTGGGATCAGCCTCACGTCTGGAACTGATGCCGATTGATGCTCACGCACTAAAGACGGAGAGCATAGCAGTTCTTCAATTGTTTTCGTCTGTGTTCCAACTCTTTTGAAATTTGTTGTAGGTTATCTAAGATTGCAACGAGTAATATGTCGTCTAAACAGCCCACATCCAGCCACGATCAATGACACCTCATACTTCAGTTAATGATATTTATACACGTAGCGAATTCCTCATCAGCTTTAACTCATTTAAAATACGTCAGAAAATTGTCAGTTTTGTCCAAAAATTGAACCTTTAAAGTGCCTCAGGTATGAAATGGCAACAAGTAGAAAATGGAGAGACATCTGTAGTATCATTCTTTTATAAGAACGACGAACGATCTTCTTTTACCTGGATCAACTTTCACTGATAAAGAGGTAACCTGGTGTCCATATCATTTGTGTGAAGTTCAGTCTTGTATCATTATTAGCCATGAAAAATTGGAAATAAAAATTTCAAGCTGGCGATTTTACTTTGTCTTAGAAATGTCGGATTTGAGAAAATCTACGAATACATCAAACAATTCAAATTTAAATTTTGGTCACAGATGCAAACGTATTTTTAAATGTTTGAATCAATTGTAATGACAGGTTTTTCTCTTTCCGTTTTGCGTCCGCGGACTGATATTAAAAACAAAACCGTAACAAGATGTTATGCCGCCGCCAACGATTTTTTCAAATTCGTTCTCTACCAGCTTTTTCGCTTTCGTCAGGAAAGTTATGATTATTTTTTTAACAAAAACTGTTTTGCCTATTTGCCTTTTTCTTCCTATGATGTAATTTCCTTTCTTCTTCCTAATGGTCAACGAGATAAGAAAAATGGGTGCTAACTGAAAGTAGAGGAGGCGGAGAAACCATTGTTTTGCACCAGCCATGATGGCCCTAAGCGCTCGGTATCATTTTAATCCTAGAGATCCATCGGGTACCAAAATATTAATTTCTTTTTCGTTTGATGCCAATTTTCATATTCAAACTTTACATTTTTCATTTTCGATCTAGAATTTTTCTTACAAGTGCAGATATAGTTACTAACCATTCTTAAAAATGAGTTAATCACTGAAAAGTGCGAATATTGAATCAGTTTCTTTTGTAGGTGTCTTTTTTCCTTAGGAAGCTTCCTTCTAGTCTGATAACTCATTGTGGCGACGAAAACTAAAGATTAAAAACTAAACAAGCATATATTTGTCGCAACCAGCTGTATATTCCAGTAGGTTAAGTTGAATTTAACTTCAAATTAGCATTAAAAGTTAATTTCTTTGGCAAGCGCACAGACATCGGTAAAATTTTCGATTGACGATATGATAAGGAAACTCTCTTTTGTCAGTTTTGGAATGACAGCATAAGCGGTTTAAGCGGTATATCTAAATATACTTTCATTCTTTTGGGCCGGTAATTAAGTGCAAACATTATCCCTGTATTGTGGTAAATTCTGAATTTGAAGGCCGATGTTTATACAACGTAGTTTCATCGACATTGGGTGTCAATCACATGTCCATATCATTTGCGTAAATAATATTGAGCCATGGCCTCAGATGCAAACTTAATTAGTAACATTTTGCGGCTCTTTTACCTCCGTTTCTTCTCCGACAAAACGAGAAACAAAACAGAAGAAAGGCAAAAAATTACTTTTTTAAACAATTTTTCGCTGTTTCTTTTACATTCTCTATTTGTTCTCCTCCTTTCGCCAAAAGTTTTAAAGTGATTGTCTTGGAAAAATTGTAAGACGAAGCTCGCCTAAATTTTTCTCTGCCAACGCTTTCCAGCGACAAACTGGACCTCTATGCAAATGATGCGAAACTTGTTTTTCGCTGTTGCCAATATAATTTCAGAACATCAATCGATCTGTAAAAAAGTTCTGTAACAAACAGAGATGGTCAATTTTATTCCATTTACTTTCGTAACTTTCAGTTAAATATACAAGTAACAAAAACTTATCATGAGCTTTACGGATATTTTTCTGATAACAAAGCAAATTGAAGACTGAAGCTAGACCGTCTCTTTTGGCAATATAGCGTCAACATCAACGTCAAGCGCTTTCTTTTAATTATAGGAAAACTAGTTGAAATAGTTTTATCGTAACACACAACATCGGCCTCAAACACATCTCTCAAACTACTCTTTGAAGTTTTATCTGATGCCTTCTTATTGCTAAGAGTAGAAACCTTGACAGTAAAATGTTTGCATATATTTTCTTGCGTTATGACATCTTGTCTTTTAGCATAGCGACAAGAAACCTTATTTTTGAAAACACATAGCTGGGTTACTTAGTCTGTCGTTAAATTGTTCACGGAGATATAAAGACTATCGATAACAGCCTGCGCAACTATTTCATTGAGCCACTTATTTGGTTTTATCCAATAACTTATTTAACGACTGCTCTCTAATAATAATCCTGACTTAATAAGCCTGCTTTGAAAGTCTGATGAACAACTCAAGAGAGACCTTTTTTAGCAAAGAGCTTCTTTCAGTGTCCGCTTCACTGCTTGTCTCACTTCACTAATCTTCCAGCAGTATAGGAACGGGTTCAAAGTCGAATTAAAGTAAAGTAAAATAATTGCTACTTTCCGTACGACGACTAAGAGTAATGAGTATTTGTTAGTGCAAGTGACAACAATTTCCACTGTATACATTGGCGCATAACAAACAACTAATGCTAACTGCACCCACAGTGCACTGTCCACTGCCTTTCTGAATCGTGCCATGTTCAGTGCATTTGTTTGGCTCGTCCGTTGTTGGTCTCCTACTTGTGCTTGACGATTTCTGAGAGTGCAAAAAATCTTTGTGTACGATGCGAAGGATATTACCAGGCAAAATGGTGAAACTAGGCAGCTGTACAAATAGATTATACTAGGATAAAAAATTCCACATAAAGAGGCGACAATGTTAAAAACCCAAAAGGTAGTTACAATGATATACGTGCGCTTCAAAGTTACAATTTGTTTGTATCTCAGCCCCAACAACAGGGCGAGAAGTCTGTCCACGCTTATGGCCGTCATCGTCATCAAAGACACTAAAATCAATACATAGCTTGTGACGTAGCCTGCGTCCCTGGCGTATCGACAACGGCTCCAATGTTCTTGAAACACGGACATCCAATATGTAGCATAGAGAGGCTGGGCAACAAGACCAACCAACAGATCAGTGGTTGCCAGACAACGATACAGGAGTTTGGACGGCGGATGTAGGGAAGATTCTTTATAAAGGGCAACAAGGATGAGAGAATTCCCAGCAAATGCTGTGATGGAGAGGAGAATGTAAACTGCCAAGAAACAAATTGATAGTTGTTGATGCCCACCCATCAAAGAGGGAGAGCATATCAGTTCTTCATATGATTTCGTGTGACTTCTGCCGCTACTGAAATTTGATATCAACATAATTCTGTCGTCGGCTTTTCCCTTTTCTTGTGGGTCTCTGTTCTTGCAACGAAAAATGGCAGCAATGACTACTGAAGCCTAACTTTCTACCTAACAGTCGCATAAAGACTTACTCATTTAAAATGCAACTGGAAATTCTCCATTGGGTCAAAAAAATATTTTTTTCCTCGGGAACCTTTGGGTTCCTCAGTTATGAAATAGCAACTAAAGGCAAATATAGAAACATCTGTTATTTCAGTGTTTTTTACAATGCGGTAAAGAGTCACTCTTTATCAGTATCAAATTCCATTATAATAGGATGCTAATCAAGGGTCCATATCTTTCGTGCGAAGTTAAGACTTGAATTATCAGCTACGGAAAGCTAAAAATGCAAAAGCTCAAGCTGGCGATGTCAATTGTTGTAAGAGAAAAATTGAATTCGTGACAATAACCGAATGTACTACGTAGACTACACAACTATTCAAAATTAATGTATACGGCCACACATACAAACTTGTTTCAAAATATTTGAAATTAACTGTGTATCTAATTGCGCTTTGAAGCCTTTTTTCTCTCCGTTTCGTATCCTACTAGAACTAAAAACAAAATAGTAACAAAATCAAGTTGTCACACCAGCAAACCATTTTCTGCAACTGTAAAAGGAAAGTTATTCAATTTTTGTTCCAGCGATTCTCTTAAACAGTTGATGACTCTCCTTTAGTGATGACAATTAGTTACAAGATAATTTATTAATCGAGATGGAAAATGAAGGGATGGGCGCTCAAGGCTTATCAGCAGTCGATAAAAAAATTACAATTGCTCTAGGAGAGGCTTCGTCTTTACCAACCCTGACCCATATTTCAAACTCACTAAAACTGCCACGTGCTTTTTATCGCACACTGAGGAACGAATAAGTTGTTAAGAAGACACCTGCTTGTCAAGACAGATTCGGACTTGTATTAGGCCTCGTTTACATGACTGCGTTTCTTTCGGCTCTATAAATATATGTAAATACCTGTTTTTGAAAACCTTTCAAATCTGAAAATATATATCAAACAAGTATATATTTTCTTTGCTCATCAAAAAGAGACACTTTGTGATGAGAAAAGAAAATATATACACAGACTATTTAATATATTTTTTCAAATAGCAACGTTTTCGAAAATGGATTTATATATATATTTAGATATTAACTTTAGATCCATTGTTTTATTTTCGGACGGGAAAATTGCTGATAGACAAACAAACAACTCATTCAATTCTTTAATACAGAGCAGGAGTTTTATCCTGGAAATTTTAATTCCTCCGAATAACGACAAGTTTCTAATCTGAATCAGTGAATTTAAATTTAAGTACAAATTAGCACTAAAAGTTAATTTCTTTGACAAACAAATAGATTAATAATACCTTTTTTAAATAATAAAATTTAACAGTATATTAAGATAAGATGTCATTTAAGGGCCGATTATTAAATTGAAATATTCTCCCTTTATTGAAGACAATACTAAGCAATAACGGGGAAAAGTTAGCCTATGTGACCCTATGATATAATATCCTTTCTTCCTACGTCTGGTTAGTGAGATAATAAAGGTGTTTTTGTATAAAGAAAGCTCTCATGTAAACGGCAGGTAACTTTGTGATGCTTTGGGGCAATTTTCAAAATTCTACTTTAATTGCAACAGTTACATCATAATACTGAAGTGAAGAAAACAATTTATAAGTGGTGGTCCAAAATCAATGGACGTATGCCAAGGAATTATCAAAATTCGCCGCACAGATCTTCAATTCTACCTTCATCAGCAACATTTACTTCAGAACTCCCTCACTAGCGTTTACTCTTTGAAAAGACTATTGACAAAAGCTCGACGTACAACGATTCTACTGAACTTCTTATTTCTTCCGCTTAATCAATAATATTTTTGACGAGCGCTCCCTAATAATAATCGTGACTTAATGAAAGTCTTACAAAACCAAACCGAGGAGGAGGTAACGCTACGGACAGCAAAGTGCTTCTCTGATTGTCTGTTTTACTGCTTGTCTTACTTCCCCAATTTTCCAGCAGTTAAGAATGGATATAACTTCAAGTTAAAGTGAAGTAAGACAACTGATGTTCTCCATTTAACGACTAAGTGTGATTGATATGTTTTACTATAAATTGGTGCGCAACAAACAACTAATGCTAACTGCACCCGCAGTGCACTGTACACGGCCTCTCTGTATCGCGCCGACGGACTAGCGACTGCATCTTAACCAGTAAACAGTGTGTGTTAATTAAGATATGAAGCACGCAGGAAGCTGAGGAGACATCATCCAGCCATGACACCCTCAGCCTCGTTTTGAGTACGAAATTTCATCAAATACTAAATTATTTATTTCGTAACATATTTACTTTTCTTTCGACTGTACGTTATTTATTTTAACTTTTAATTCGTTATTTTATTCACCGATGGGGAAATAACGGAGAAGCAAACCAAACGAGCGCTTTCATTGATAAAAAAAAAATGCAACAACTTATTTGTTTCTTGTGTAGAAGTTCTTTTTCCGCCAATTCTCCTTCCCATTTATCTCCACTTTAATTATTCCGAATAGCGACTGCAGCTTGACTAGTAGACAGTAATAAATGAGCAACACAGCGGTCAAATGATTACGCATGCGCTTATAGATAGATAATTTGCCTTTGTAAACAATGAGAATCTAAATGATGCGTAGTTTTTCTCAGTTTCTTGATAAATTTCAAAGTTTCTACGGCCCAAGACTTACACATATTGTTGTTTTAGACTTGACCCATGTTGTGCTATTTTGCACTTTCGTACTTTCTTTTACACTTTGCTTGGCGGCGTGATGAAGTCGTAAGCTTTGCTGTGCTGGCAAAGGTAGAAGAAAGGTTCTGTAATTTGCCTTCATCGCCGGAACAAGGTGTCTGCGTTAAAAATAACTTGAGATATCTCACTATAAAATAATACCAATATTTAAGCTTTCTCCGAAATCCCTCTTTCAACTGTGTTACGCATTCAATTTTGAATAGTTAGGAATTTAACCTTTCCTTCTTCACTTCCGCTATTTGCCGTGTACCTCAATCAGTAAAATTTAGCTCAAGTACAAATTAGCACTAAAGTCATATCCCTTGGCAAACATCAGCTATATTACTGTTTTCAAAACAATAAAGGAACTCGATTGCGACTTTTTTTTAAGTAAAGAACTAAGCAGTATATTTAGATATACTGCTATTTCTAGGCCCGATAATGAAATTTGGTCAATCCTGAATTCCATAAAACTTTGTGAAACGACTTGAAAGAAATATAGAGGAAAGTTTAGGACAGTTAATCGCTCGGAAATGGTAAACATAGAATCAATCACCACTTGGAGACAACTGAAAAATACACCATGAACAAACTGGAAATAAAGCAACCCTTTCTATGTGATATTTTTAAAAGTCGATATATTTTTTTTTTCATTCAATATTCCTTTTTCCCTTTAGCAAATAATTTCAGCAAAACGGTGAACCTGAAAGAGAACTTTATACTAACCGTTCTTGCTTCAATTTTGTTCCTTACACTTTCTTATAATAACAAACGTGAGTATGATCCTGCGCGTGCATATCTTTTCTTAGATTATGAATTGATCTAATCATGATAATGTGAGGTAGCACTAAAACTATTTCTATAAATTTATGGTTAGTTTTTCGGTTGCCTTCCCTTTAGTTGTTAAGGTGCGAAAAATACAATCGAGAGATCTCGAGCAAAGATATATATCATGGTGTAGCTGATTGACGAGCGTTCCCTATCAGTCAGTTTTGAACTGAAAGTACCAGTACGATCGGGTAAAACTCAAGATGGTCTAACTCCTTGGACAGCAAAGTGCTTGTCTGATTGTCTGCTTTACTGCTTGTCTTACTTCACTTATCTTCCAGCAGTAAAGAAACGGGTTTAACGTCGAGTTAAAGTAAACCAAGACAACGGTTATTCCCCTTAGGATGACCAAATGCGATGAATGTGTTTTACTGTGTGCAATCACGGTTACCACGATAAAGAATGGTGCAAAACAAACAACTAATGCTAACTTCACCCACAGTGCACCATACACTGCTTTTCTGTATTGAGCTATGTTCAGTAAATTTAATTGGCTCGGCTGTTGTTGAACGGGATCTTCTGCCTGAACCTGATGATATCTGAGAGTGCGAAAAATCTTTGTATATGATGCGAGTGAAATAACCAAGCAAAGAGGTATAGTTATGAGACGGTACAAAAAAGTTATACGATCATCAAGTAAAGCGCATAAAGAAGAGACAAGAGATAAAATCCAGATGGTAGCTACAATGATATATGTGCGCTTCAAAGTTACGATTTGTTTGTACCTTAGACCCAACAACAGGGCGAGAAGTCTGTCTACGCTTATGGCCGTCATCGTCATCAAAGACGTTAAAAACAATGCAGAGCCCGTGATATAGGCTGCGTCAAATGCGTATCGACAAAGGCTCCAGTGTTCCTGAACTAAGGACATCCAATAAGTAGCATAGAGAGGGAGGGCAACAAGACCAACCAACAGGTCAGTTGTTGCCAGAGAACGGTACAAGAGTTTGGACGGTCGGTGGAGGGAAGATTCCTTGTGAAGGGCAACAATGATGAGAGAATTTGTAAGGAATGCTGTGATGGAGAGGAGAATGTGCACTGCTGAGAAAAAAGTAAATATTTCATGTAATCCACCTCCAAAAGATGGGGTGCATAACAGTTCTACAAATGTTTTCGTCTGTGTTCCACTCCTAGTGAACTTTGTTGTCGACATTGTTCTGTAATCGTTTCCTTTTTCTTGTACTGAGGCAACTGGCAACGAGAAATATTTCGTTTAAACACCCCAAGCTGTGCAACGATGACTGAACCTTCCTTCAATAAACACATAGAGACTTCCTCATCAGCGTTTGCTTGTTCAAAGTGCGTAAACAAATTGTCTGTTGTGCCAAAGAGTTGATTGCTTTTTTCCGGAACCCCTCAGATTTAAGCTTCTTTTTAATATTAGAATTCATTTACATTTTAATGGTTTGATGCAAAATTTTATACAGATGATATGGACACTTGACTAGCTCCCTATCGATGAAAGATCATTAGGAAACGTGACCAAAATAGGAACAAATGAGCTTTAAGAGTCAAACGTACAGACAGACATCTTTGATACTAGCAGTATTTCACAATTATTTTAAACGTCGTCTTCTCGGGT